AGACAGCCTAAATTCTTCCTACTGCGCCAGGCAAGGCAGACATATGACAACCGACAACTAAAAAGTATGGAATTATCCAAGTGGAAGGAGAAATGGATCATTGTGGTGAACCCTAGAAAGCATTTTAAAAAGCCCAATAAAAAGGTAAATTATAATTTATGGCCTGGAAGGGTCAATAAAAAAGTTATTTTGTCCAAAAGGGTCGTTCAACATCCTTGTGGATTTGCTCCCTACCAATGTTACAGCAATGAAATTTTTCTTTGTTGAATCTTTGGAGTCAAGGGGAATGCTTCGATTTCAAAACCAATAATAGACCTAAAGATCATAAAATCAGCCAATGCACAACTGAAACATACTTTTATGGTTCACCGTTTTAACATTCAATAATATGTTTCCAGCCAAATCATCTCCAAGAACACACACACACACACCATTCCGTTTGCCCAACTACTACATATTGACATAAAAATACTCTCAATACCAAGCATATCATTAGACTGTACAGAGCATTCATACAGGCCATTTAGCAACTCACATACCTCCTGAATGCGATCCAGGGACCGAATATTATCTAGTGTATCCAAAGAAGGTGAAAGGCCTCCATGCAAACAGAAAATCTGAAATAATCAAGGAAGTTAGACAATTGAGTGAAAATAGCAGGACAAAAATTCTGTGCAACATTTTTAACTCAGACCTGACTCTCAATAAGGGCAGTCAGAGGCAATAATCAAATAAGTCCGTGAAGTATTTCCAGACATTGGCATTTCCATATTTTCTCAAGCATTCATCATAAAAGCCATACCTGAAAGCAGAACGCCAAAGGTAAAAATTAAATTGTGAAGTCAACAATTAGCATCATACTTTTTGTTTAAAATTTTTTTCCTTTCATGTTTTCGTGGTATTAATTAATTTGAGAATTACCGAATGCAAAGAAAACATTCTTACACTTGCGTAATTTGACGGCTCTCATGATTTCCCCTAAGAATTGTGATTCTGTCTCTGTAGCGAACTTTTAAGGCCACCAAAAGTGTAACAGTCTCCACAGAATAGTAGCCACGATCTGGTTTAATTCAGCCATGATGATGAGAAATTGGTCCCACATTTCATAGATGTTATGACTACGATTTGGAAACCATTACAAGAAGTGACAAGAAAAGATGCGTAAGCATCTTTCATCACAAAAGGTTGCAGTTTTTATCCTGAACACTAAATCTAGATCAGAGACAGATAAAGTCAGAGAATTTTCAGTTAGACACTGTTTCTAAGGAACATCACTGAGACACTACTTTTGGATATGGCAATTCAAACGAATGAACCAGGCATGCTTCCACTGTCAATTGTCAAAGGACTAGCTCTTCCATATTACAGAGCCTCCGTTGCTAATGCGTCCAACAAAAGTCCTAAAAAATGCAATGTTCTACATCATCTTTTCACCTCCACGTTTTGATAGTGAAAAGGACATTCATGCCATCGATGTTATAGAGAGATCATGTAGCTCATATAAAGAAGCAAACAAGTTTAATTTACATTAACAACGAATCTAGCACATAAAGCATAGACATAATGCCGTAAACAAATGATTCTATAGAGAGCTTGATCTTTCCCACCATTAAATACATTATGAATTTCTCAACATAATATTGAGAATCTCAAGGTAGTTCTGATGACTGGTAGGGGAAAGGTTCACTCTCTCAAGAGGTTTGACAGTCCATAGAATAACAAATCTTATTGCAATAGGCAAGATAAACTACATACATCGCACAACGTCACTGTACTTAATGACAACAGTTAACCAAAACCAAAGGGAAAGAACTAGGAGAATATGACTGGTAAGAACAGCCTTTTAATTAATTCAAACAAGGCCTTCGATCCAGCAGACAACACATAAAGGTGAAAAAATCAACAGTAGCCGGGGAACTAAATCTAATCTTTTTCCCTATGCAATAAGGCATGAAAGATTATCCTGCAGCCTTTGCAAACTAAGCCTGCTAAACAACATCAATATTCAACTAATCAGAACCTCCCTCTTTATTTTTTCCAAACCGATAATTGACAGGTAAAAAGTCTCATGGCAACAGTTTCCGGACAACATCAACGACAATAAAAAGACCGCATAGTGATTATAGATATCATGCTCAAGGCCCCATCCTATCAAGAATATCATGTTTAAAGGCTCCATCCGGTACCATGTTATCGGAAAATACGACATCCTATCAAGAAACACCACCAAGGCATCTTTTGATGAACGATTCCTTACCCAAAAAAACCTTAAATCATCAATTATCGGAAAATATAATAAACAATCCGACACATCAAAGCTTTGAACCCGACAAAATAACCCACCAAAAACCTTGCACATAACAAAAACAAAAAAGAAAAACAACAAAAGTGAGGTAGAACTTGGAGAAACACTCACCCACATAGTCGCCCATAAAGAGGTAATTGGTATCCGGAGCACTACCTCCTATCCGAAACAACTCGATGAGATCATAAAACTGGCCGTGAATATCCCCACACACCGTTACAGGGCATTTCACCGGTTGCACGTTCCATTCCTCCACCAGTATCGCCCTCGCCTGATCGCACAGTGTCTTCACCTCCGCCTCCGACAAAGGCTTGCACTGCATCAGCTGCTCAATCTGACGGTCCAGATCCGCGTGAGACGGCATCGTTTATAACAACCACTGTATCTCTCTCTCCTAGCTCCAGGCACAAAAAGTCAAAAAAATAAAAAATCCTCAGATCCGAAGCTCCAAGATCCCCCTCCTAACAAACAGATCGACGATCTTGAAGAAGATAAAAAGAACAAGAAACGCCGAAACTTGCAAATTGACGCGGAACTTGAGGCTCAATTCAATGGAAAACTCATCAGCGGCGACTGGTGGAAGAACGTTAGAGTACGGATTGGGAGCCGAAACGCAGAAATCAAAACGGACCGTTTCGAAGATGGGCTTGGTTTGAATCCCAGAATCATTCCTAGCTCGGTGCTTCTCTCGGCAACGGAGTATTTCAGGGAAACAGGAAATGGAAGAGACACAATCAAAGCAGGCTTATTTCATTTCCTGAGGTAAAAACTAAAAAGAAGAGGGAAATATATTGTTGAATCATCATTTTTGTTTTCTTAATTGTTATTTAACCAATTAGGTTTGTCGATTATCAATTATAAATACAAATTACCAATCATGAAAATGTTTTAAGTAATTTTTTGACCATGATAATTTAGTTTTTTATTTTGGAAATCAGGCAATAATGATTAGTTGTTATTTTTTTTAATCAATAGTTGTTTTTTTTTTTTGAGTAAATCAATAGTTGTTATTGTTACTTCATGTAATATTTATTTTTACAGTTTTTTTAAAATCATTTTTCATTCAAGGAGAAAAACTCACATAAACTTTTACTAGAAGAAGAATGAGTCATCGTGTGCTTATCAATCACCATCATGATACAACCTAAGTCATTCAAAATCTAAATGAATGAGTCATATTTAAAATTTTTAATAATAAATTTTTTTTTTTAAAAGTGTTAGTTATCAAATGAAATTTGCTTTAAATTCTAAATATATTAAAGGTTTAAGGAGCAATTTTGACTCTGATCTTATTTCTCAAACGTAATTTTACCCCTAATTTTTTGATGATATAATTTTGCCTATGATCTTATTTTTCAAGTATAATTTTGTCATTGATCTTTTTTTTTATGTATGTAATTTTTCCTTTGATCTTTGACAAAATGGCGTAAAAACAAAAGATCAGAGTTAAAATTGTGCTACTGGAAAGATAAAAAGCAAAATTATACCTGATAAATAAGATTGGATTTAAAATCTATATTAAAATAAAAAATTATTTAAAATATATAAAATAGTCCAAACCCTCATCAAAGAGATGAGCACTCAAAAGTAAAAGATAAGAAAATATTTAGTGTTCTTGCAGTAATCAATATTACTAATGGTCCTTAATATAATATCTTGTTTGACTTTTATTTTGATTCTAAATATAAGATCTCAATCCATTTTGTCTCTCATATTTATGTATTTTTTTGAAGAAAATCCTTCTAATAATAATAGTTCTAACCAATATACTTGATAGCAAGGATATTTAGGAAAGACAACACCTATTCATTGCAAATAACTAATTTAAATTATATCCTTAATCTCCTCAAATTAGTCAACTAGTTCTTATAATTAGGATCGAAAGTAGTATATAATTGTACAAAATCTATCAATATAAAATGTAAGAAATTTACGGAAAAAGGGGCAAGCTCATCTAAAACTGCATATAAATAGATAAGAGCCATTTTAGCTTTTTATAATATTATTATTAGTTTCGGCAAAGAAAATATTATTATTAGTTGTTATGTTCATTAATATTAATATACATATTAAGGATGTTTTATTGTTTAGTTTTTATAAGTTAAAGTTATGTTCATTTCTCAAATTTTGTATTACATTAAAAACATGTATAATTCATGACCCAATCTAAAGTCAATGCTATTTCTTATCAAACAAAAGTCGATATTATTTATTATATTATGGTTATATAAATATAAATTATATATAAAAATAATGTGACGGGTACAAGCTTATGAATTTAATTCTTCTAATTATTATTCCTGCAAAATTAAGAAATTATCTCAAAATTGTAGAAGTAGTGTATGGGGAAAGAGGTGGAATTTATTTATTTATTTATTTATTTTTTTGTGTACAGAGAAGGAAAACGAGAGGAATTGGTAAACTCTGCCCGAATTGATTGAACGTAGGGCCATGTTTAAAAGCCCAAGTAATTTTTTCAATTTAAATTTCTTACTATTACCATGCATATTCAAATTTCAATGGACCAAAGTAAAATGCCAAGCAGCTTAAAATATCACAAATTTATTATCATAATTCAAACAAAAGTACATCAAAATTCAATATTTATTATAATATACTAAATAAAATAAAATAATTAAATAAATATTTCTCAAAAAGAACATAACAATTACACGATACAAATATATCAAAAATAAAATTATGGAAAATGGTTTCACCATAACATTCAAACACTTTATGCTAATTGCTAAGTCCATCTTAATTAAATCATGAATTCTTGTTAATCAACTCAATTAAAATCTAATGGGCCAAATTTTTTTTTTTACAAAAAAAGAAAAACTAGTATTGCATTTGACTCTTAATATAAGAGCTAGTTTGACATTCAATTTGATTCTAAATATAAAACTAATACATTCAATTTCATATTTATCTATTTTTTTCAAAAGTAGTTATTGTAGTAGTTGCATATATTAAACGTTTCATCAAATAGTAGTTTTAGCTAATACATATAATTAACAAAGATATTTTGAGAAAATAATATGCAAATAACTAATTTAATAAAAAATTTTAATCTACTCAAATTAGTCAATTAGCTCCTATATCAATAACCGAAGGTAATATTGTTCTAACTAAACTGCACTTTCAAACTGACGGACAAATGGTCATGAATGGCGTCTTCAAATTTCAAGCGAAGTGCAAGTTTGAAAATTTGAATTGAACACTTTTTTTTCCTTTTTAAGCAAATGCCCCTATTGGAATCTTACTTTGGAATATTAGTTGCTTTTCACCCCAATCAAAACATATCTAAACTAAAAGAGTAGGTAAGTAAATAAATAAATAAAAAGGTGGTAAAAATGCTTGGTTTAAGAGCGTCCTTTAATTTTCACCTTGAACCACGCAACCCATCAATCTTCTTTTTCTCTTTTCCTAGTTTATTTTCCATTCAAACTATTCTTGTATGATCCAATTTGGGGTTTTTAGCATATCTCAATCTAATACTTCAATTGTTCAATAGTTTAGTAAACTAGAAGGTTCTCTTGAAATTTCAACTGCTTATGTTTGTTAACTGTTTTTCTTTAGCTCATATGTCAACTGCTGGTAAAAAAAAAAAATGTTATTTGCTGTTGGTGTTATTAGATGTGTCTTCATTTTATGGGAGAAAAAAAAAATCCATCAAAATGATAAACCTATAAGCACCAAATCCCTAGTTCGGATCCTCTTCTATCCTCTTCCTTTTTTAACCATTAAATTAATATTTTAAAGTTTAAATTTAAATCTTTTTAAAACTATTATTAAAATATTAAATTATAAAAATAAAGAAATAATAAATTACAAACTATATTAACATTTAATTTTAATGGTTTGTAAGTATACTAAATATTTTTAATTTTTTTGTAAATAGTAAATACGTTATGAAAAATTAAAATCTAAACCGTTAAAATATATTAATTTAATGGTTAAAAAAAAAAAAGAAAAGGAGAGGAGGAGAGAGGACGAGAAAAAGAGAGGAGAGGTTCCAAACCACCAAATCCCACCCCCGGCGTGCGTGCGTTAAGCGTCCCATGAATGCTATTTGCATTAGCTAAGATGATAATTCTGATGATTTTGATAGATGGGTTTTGAAAATCCATAAATTCACTTAAACTTGTTTTTCAAATTTAGCATTTCCATATCATATTTTCACTAATTTTGTGATTATGTGAAGTGATAAAGTGTTATAATTAATTTCAACAAGGAAAAATACCAACAAAAAATTTTGAATATAGAAAATTCTAAAAAAGACAGCTAACACTTCAAAATAATAGGAAATGAAAGAAAGCCTGAATTGAGATTATGAAAAAAAATGAAAAATTGACTAATATGCCCTTAGATGACATAATATATGTGAACTAAAAATAACAATAATAGAACTTGAATTAATAACTTTTGATACGACAAGTTTTGAATCGGTAATCATAACTTGTCATTAAGGTATAATTTAGAAATAATAAGTTGTGAACCGATAATAATAACAAAATTTGAAATAACAATTTGGTTACACAAGGACATATTAATCATTTTTACACATTTCCATAATGTCTCACATCCTTTCTTGTCATTTTGAAGTGATAGTTACCTTTTTTGGAATTTTCTATATTCAAGGTTTTTTTTGTCATTTTTCCAATTAACCAGTTGGAAATTGGAGCCAAGACCAATAATTCACCGCACCCATAATGAAAAGGAATCCAGCAGTGAAAAAGACTTACGATAAGGTGCAAGCATCCTCCTTTTACAGGTGCTTCAACAACACCACCTTACACCTTTAAAATGGTGGAATTCACTTTATTACCAACTCACGCCTAATCTTTAATTACAATAAAGAACCAAATTCCACAACATGCCACAATGAACACTCCAAAAAGCCAAAAGCTTCCTACCCATGTTGCCTTTTTTTTAGTATCATGGAGATCTAAACTTAATAATGCACAGTCCTTTAAATTAAAAACAAGCGTGCATGGCTGCTATTTCTACAGTACCTTCCTCTCTTCTTCAGTTTCTGAACTTTTTTGGCTTTTAAATTTAATAGCTATATTCCTTATTTGCTTTACATGCAAAATTAACACTTATTGATTCCTTCAATGACATGCGTCCAGGCTTTTTTTCTTTAAAAAAAAAAAATTCAAACCAGATGTATAATTTTTATTTTGTCATGTGCAGAGATGTTGTCAGTCGATAAGTAACCTGTACTTATGAAAGCTTTTAAGAACAAGAGCGATCGATCCTTTCAAAAAAAAATACATATATATACATACACACTCATACTTAGTCGCTAAATCGAGAAGTTTCTCCAGAAACTTAATAATCTCTCTCCTTCAATTCTTTTGAGCTTATTATCTCTGAGACAAGCCATCTTCTTCTCCTCCTCGTCCTCCTCCTCCTCACTTTTCTTCTTGATCTGTTCGTTCCTTGGGGGTGAAAATATCATTTTCCTGAGAAAAAGCTTGTCATCTTCAGTTCTGCGAGGTTGCTGATGAAGCTTTGTCATATTCCGAGAACACTACTAGGCTTCGCCAGGAGGTCGACCTGAATTTCCAGCTCTTCTGATGAACAAAATTTTAAAGAAAATTCAATTATACAATAATGTCTGAAAGATAAACAAAATTTTAAGTGTCCTATTTTCATAAAAATGTGCAGTACTTCAGCTTATAGTTTCAGAGTGAATCTTGTACTTCCATTATCCGCATATGTGCCCCAATAATTAATTGCATTATTGTGCTAAAAGTGCTTAAGGGAGGATCAAAGGAAAGAGAAGTAAGACAAAGGTTTTGAAAGTTTCATAAAATGCAGAGAACCATATGAAGCGATAAACAACTTTAATTTAATACTTGTGTGTGTGTGTGTGTGTATTAATAAATATTTGCATAGAATAAAGTGCTTAGCCATACTTTATTATTTTCTTTAAAGGGATAAGTCTCTTAAAGTCCTCAAAGCAACAATTCAATGTAACAGTTAAAGCATAAACTCTCTCATATCTTGCTTTTCCTCTTTATTTGGATTGAGAAACTGCAAAATGATACGAACCTGGCTTCTCCATGAGGCATATATATATAGTTTATACATTTCTATTTCGGCCAAAACGAAAAATACAATACTAGTGGAATATATATGAAACAGATTTAATTTGACTGTCATATATATAAGGTTGCTGTAACTGGATACAGATATCCAAGTATCAACTTGGTTCTACTCGGTTGGAAAACACAAAAAACTGAGTTAATATCAAAGAGAGCAAAGAAGGAATCACAACAATAACAACAACAATCTTATCCTACTAAGTAAGTGGGGTTAGCTATATAGATTGACCAGTGTCATTGAGCTCTACCCGAAAAAATAAGTAGGTAAATTTAGCAATATGGAAAATAAGTAAAAACATAAGTAGAGAAGTAAGAACTAACCTGTTATGGATAGGATCTGATCCATTTGGGACTCTTCTTTTGCTCATGTAGTTGAAATCCAGCTCTTGTTGGTTCATATTAGGCTTGTCTCTGTCAATCTCATCTCTATGGTGGATTTTCTTCCTTCTCCGGTTCCTAAGCTTCCAAGCAATAGAAGGCAGACAAACCCCACCACTAAGAGTAGCTTTAAAAGGAAAGAACAAGTAAGACCCATGTGTAAATCTTCAGTCTTTTTTGCCATATAGGAAGAAGGAGAAGCCTTGTACTACATATTACTTCATGATATGATTGTTGGGTGACTTTCGATATGGGGTTTGCGTATATGAAGACAAAAGAAAGAGAGAATAGAAGGCGAGAGGGAGAGAGGGAGAGAGGGAGAAGGTAGCTAGGTGTGCTAAGGCAAGAATTTTGGTTTCACTTCAAACTCAAAGGATTACGGACATAGGTTGGTTTTCTTTATAGGTTAGAGAGATTCTATTGCCCTTTCTCGAGCAGGCACAGAGAGAGAGAGAGAGAGAGAGAGAGAGAGGCTCTTAGCTGGTTTAGTGCGTGCCATGGAGGGAACCTTATTTGCTTTGTACTGAGAAGGTTCCTATACGACTCTCACCTTTTGCTTTTATTTGCGTATTTTCATGTAACTACGGTATCAGGCAAAAAAAAAAAAAATCCCTCTCTATATATCATTCTTTACGTACAATGACGTCAAAAGAAAAATACGTTACGGGTGGATTATCATTATACAATCGCTATATACTCTCACTATAAATTTAATTTATAATATAGAAAAATGTTTTTGACCGCAAAAACACAGTTCTGTCGGTAATTAAGAATATGTCTCATATTCTATAAGAACTTTGATTCATATCTTACTAATGAAGTGATAAGCTCATTTTTACAGGTAATTTGTAAGTAAGCATCCGGAGCACATTCTATGCTCATCAGCATGAAATGCACATATTAATTTGGACAATTCAAATCGATTTTATATGATTTAGATTGAATTTAAATATTTTTCTATATTTTAATGAATTTTTTGGTTTTAATAGACACAGAATTTAAAATAAAAATAATCTTATAACTAACAATTCTCTAAAAAAATAAATTTATCATTAAAAAATTACATATTAAAAATTTTAAATCTAAACAATTTATATCAGATTTTAGATGGTTTACATTGCATTACCGTGATGAGCATATAGGGTTCATCGCTGTGAAGAGCACTAAATGAGAACTCCTAAAAATGTCAATAGGATGATATTAATTATTATATGAAGCTGTTCTTGCAATAGGCTGTGTCGTTCCCCCCCCCCCAAATAATTACAATAAAACAAAGAATGAAAGAAGTGGAGAATGAGGGGATGAGTCTGCTGATGCGTGGAATAAAGTAAAGCCACAGAAATTAAAAAGCAAATATAACAAGACAGGAAAAGTAAATGAAAGATCACAATGAAAACATGTTAGATTCTGTGGGCACTCGTTCTTTGTTCATAATTAGTATCTAAAAATATAATGATAAAAAAAATCCATGTAACTTCAAGTTATTTAAAAGCCATATTTTTCTCCGTGTGTGGGTGTGCGAATCAAAACTCAGGTAAATATCATATATCTTAAGTTCAATTAATTAAGATTCAATATAAGCTCATAAATAATTATATTTTAATCCCTAATTAGCAATCTGCAAAGAAAATATATATTGAAAAGCAATATAAATCATAAGGGCAACTTATGTTTATATTTATCTTGTGTGTAACTCCAGAGCATTTATTTGCAGAATTTACAAAATTTCTGTAATAATACAGGTGATGATGAGCAGTCTACATATTATATCAGCTTATAATTTAAACAAATTAATAATTAAGAGAAGGTGAAAATACTTTTGTTAAAGTAAGTCTAATAATCGAAATACTTTTTAGTCAAAGTGCCGCCATATTTGATGCCATACATAATATATGATTCTTAGATCATACCTAAAATATTGGTAGCAGACAAATGGTATATATATGCTTTCTTTATTATATCTTTTGAAACACTTAGTTACTCCCGTTATTTAATTAATATGCATAATACTTTTTGCCATTCTCATCAGAATTAACATAAGGAATATGAATGATGAAATGAATGGCAAGGAGATATAAATATACATGCACTGAAGTATAGAAAAATAAAACTTCGCCCTTCGATAGAAGGCTGTGATTAGGAGAGATATATATATATATATATTTATATATATAAGAGAAAGGAAAGAGGGGTGGAAAGAGAGAGAGAGCAGCAATACATGATCTTCTTAATTACTAATCCTTGATCACAAAACATGTTTTTGGATAATACCAACCGGTTTCTTAATTGTAAGTTATGTTGAGTTTTGACTAATTCGGATCAAATTGTGTCAAACCATATGAGTTTAAAGAGACCTCTAGAATAAAGATATTAGAGGGGGGTATTAGAGGCTCCGGTTTAAAGCGCGCTGGCTCTCTCTTATTTTATATAGAATTAAGTTAAGACTTTGTTTAAGAAACTAGCTAGCTGGTGTTGGTAAAGTATAAGGCATATTTTGTCTTATCCATTATTAATTAATCTACATGAATCTGAAAATAAAGAAAAACAAAAAGTGACTGTATAGTTGGAGAATCCAATACTTCTTACTGTAATGGCTTCACCTTGAAGGTACATAGATAACTCAGTTTTACTAGAAAGCTTTTAGAATGGATGCCTTGCCTATGCCACATGTTTGAGGTGGAATATTTTATGTTAAATGACACAGTTGTGCCATTTGAGAATTGAGAGCTTTCTTTTTTCTTTATTGCAATTTATCAATACTTGTAAATTTTTGTTTTAACTCTTATAATATAAATTAAGATTTATAAATTTTTACATGGATTCTTGTTATTTTACTATTATTAATTGTTAAAATACTTACATGTGTAAATTCATCTGTAAAATTAATTCTTACAAATTTTTGTATTAACTACCCTAATAATATAAATTAATTAGGGCTATAAATTTTCATATGGTACTTGTTATTCTCTATTATTAGTTGTTAAAATGTGTTTGTGCATTTGCAACTTCACTTATGAACTCGACCTAACATATAAGCAACTTAATCCAAGTTTTGTGTTTTTTTATTAATATTAATAGGTCAAATTTGTTTCATTTTGAACAAAATCTAAGTGAATGAGCTGCATTATTGCTTATGACTTGTGAATATAATAAGCTTAATTTATGATTTTATATCTCATATTGATATTGATATTTCCAATTCACTTAGAAAAGATTATTCATCTAGAAGACAGTCGCATCCATAGAGAGAAATTTTCCTTTTTAAAAGGCTAAGTATCCGAGCAAAAGGCATATACTATAGGCATATTAACTATAGCATGGTTTAGGAATGAGAATTTTCACTTATATAAACACATGGTCATGTATTAAGATGACATTACACTATATTCGAGACCACAGACCAAAATGATTGTTTAGATTTTCAAATCAAATTAAGTCGAATGAAACTCTCGATTGACCAAATCATGCATGCCCTACTCTACACGAATCTCTCACACCTAGTATCTTTCAATGAAGTAACTAGATTTAGGAGTCACCCTAGGTATAAATATATGAATGTTGCTCTAAATGATAAATTATTAATTTGAGTTGTTATTCTGAACCCTTAATTCTTTTAACTATCATATATATACATATATGAAGCTTTCTGAGTAGATAACGTAGACATAGAGATACACACTATACTCCTCTTTAGTGTGCATGCAAAACTAGATGAGAAGACTCTCTGGTATTTCGCTATTTCAGTAATATATAAGTTGGTCGATCATGTTCATCAACTCTCTTTTTAGTGAGTTTCTGCTCTACAAGGTAATATTTGAGTTACCGTGAAGTGTTTTGTCCTAACATATCTAACTGCATATCTTTGTACATAAGTACTCACTGCTATATATTATGTATTTGTCTTTCTCATTTGTTTATTTCACCTCACTAAATGCAGAAGCCACTGTTAAAAATGTTAAGAGTCTCATATTAGGGAAGTCTCACAAGCGTTACACGATTTATAAGTTTAAAGGACTCTTCCTCCTAATAAGTTAACCTTTTGAGATTATGTTCTTGCTTTGAGCTTGTGTTTATTACAAAAAAAATGACTCATCCACCACGGGTAACTAGCCTATGGATAAGTATCCTGTAAATATGTAATATAATTGGATTTTCCCCATTATTTTTCAGGATGATAATGAGTCTAAAGATGAGTCTATAGTTGGCTATGCAAAAATCAACAATCTTGCGCTTGTGTTCACTTGGTGTACGTTTGAGGTGGGACACGGTTGTAAATGACGAAAGAAACAAAATCATCGTTTGTTATAAGAAAAGCAAATGATCAAAATGAAAATATGCGTGTATCTGTCATGTGGAAATTGGCTTGTTAAACCAGGAGATATTAAGCTTCGTGGCGGGAGTTTGGCCACTTAAATACAAGGTTTTAAATTTGAGTTCGAATAAATGCCAAAAAAAAAAATGCTTCCTAGTTAAAAGATTATTCCTCTAAACTCTTATGATATCAGGCTATCAGCAATTTGCACAGTTGGAGGGTGAGGAGTGGGCTAAAGTTAAACTAGGTGCCTTTAATTTGTTCCTGAAGCACTAGTCATTACCGTTGTCTTGATATGCGTCTTTCTATATATGCGTGTGTATAATTGATAAATCTTAAGAACTTTATTTAATTATCATTCTTAACTTTTTGCTAGCATTGATTTGTATCTTTATGAATAATTTGGTTCACATATTTTTATAATTTGTGTCAGAATTTGATATTTACTGTTCCTGGTTGGGCATGCAGAGCATTAAGAAAAGTGAGAAAAATTTAACTATACAAGTCCAGAGCTATAACAAGATGTACATGAGTGAATTTCACACCACATTTGAACTCAAAATTTTAGGTTCGTAGCAAGTTTATATGTTTTTTTTAAAGAAAAATTAGTCGTTTTTAATCTTTTAAGTTTTAACTCGGTTACATTTAGCCCCTCAACTATGAATTGATATAACTTAATCTCTAAAATTTTGACTTGGTTGAGGGACTAAGTGATAACTAAATTAACTTATATTGTCTCAAGTC